AGTCAGTAGGAAAAAGTGAATTCAAAACAATATCATCTTTTTTGCTAATCTTGTCCTTAGCCACAGCTGAGCGTTTTAGGGTAGATGGTGGTGGGGAAGGGGATGGGAAAGGAACTATGCCTTCAGGAGGTTCATGTTGGCTCTGAGGTTATCTGTGTGGGTGGCTCAGCTGTCTCTGCTGAGGAGCTGCACACTCAGTCACAACTCTGTGACACTGGTACCCCCTTTTTCAGAACTCTGAATTACACAGCTACAAGCACCCATTACACTATGGTGACCCTTGGTTCTGAGCACTTGCCTGCCTTCCCAGAGAAGTGACAAGTAGTTTCCATGTGGTCTTTTCTTATTTTAAACTGACTTCTTCATGATGGCTGCTTATTTTCTTCACTTAAGTGCAAGATGAATCATTTGAGTAGTTGAAGCTACTTCTGTTCTAGCAGAGTCTCTGATTATGTGATCATTTGCCATATGGCCAGTGCTGAATTGGATTTTTCTTTGGTTACATTTAGATTTAATTCCTAAAGGATAAGGGGGGAGGGAAGAACATATAACTTACCAATAGTCTTCAAACCACGTTCCACATTTCCAGAAAATTCTCGATCAATGCTGCTTAACAAATCACGATTAGCAATCTACAAATAAATGAGATTAATGTATAGATGATGAAATGCAGTAGCAACTGGAAGCTTAATTTCAAATACATTGACCTAGCATATTTGAAATCAGTGAAAACTCCTACCCTGGAGTATGCCTCAACTGTTGCTTTCAGCTGGGGAAAACTTCTGCTTGCCAGAACCATATTAAAGCAAGATTCATCAGTCCCAAGTTTTCCTTCACCAGCTTGGTACAGACGCTGAGCATCTTCTTGAGCTTTTTGGTAATCCACAGTTTGATTCTCATCACGATTACCCTTAATGCAAAGACAAGAGATTTCAAATGAAATTTCACAGAGAAAGCTATGCTTTAACTGCTTGCAGTATACATAGACCCCAAGCATATATCTTCAAAGCTTGAAGCAGAAAGAGAAGTAGTTTGAAATACATTACATTGCTTTAAAACTTCTCTTTGGTTTAATATTCTTTATAGGAAATAAATACAAAAGTGGCTCAGAACCCTATCTCTAGGACATGCTTTAAACTGCAGATACACTGACTCATAACTTCACTCCTACAACCATCTCATAGTTCTAATTAAGTACTGTACTTAATTCTCTATTTTGCTTAATAATGTAAGCTTTCTTTTGATTTGTTTGTTTCTAGGCTTCAAGTTGCAAAGACTCTTCCCAAACGAACTAATGAATTATCTTACTGAATATGCACACCTGAAATATCTCAGGTTTCCCTCCTGTTTTATTTAGAAGTTGCTTATTTCAAGTAAGAATGTCTTTAGAAACCACTTAACTACACTTGTGTCACTAGGGCTTGTATGACATTTTATGTGCTTCGGTGGTTGTTTTGGCATTTTGCTGCCCAGTGCATGGATGGATACTGCTAAACATACTGGCTGAGTAGGCTGAATACATTCTCTCCAATACTGTTGTATCTATAGCGGTTAATATACTATTTCAATGATGTGGTTGTCAGTTATTGTAAACTACTGGATTTATCAAAATAAAAATTAGCAGCATGAGCTTCTCCAGGTTTGCTTTCTTGTGGATTTTGACTTTTAACCAAATATCTAGAGCATAGCTGAACTCTCGCAAAGGAAAAAGCCAATGAGAGAGAGAGAGAAGTGTCCTAGAAATTCTAACAGAAATAGGCAAATTGATCAGAGAAATGTGGGAAGTTGCATTAGTTACATATTTCTTCCTAAATATGAGTAATTGCAAGTTACTATTCTTCAGCACAAAATGAGCCCTAGTAAATGATATGGGATAAAAAAGCTCCAGTGGTCATCTGAGTTCAATAGCAGCACCTCCCTACATCTGGTGATGGAGTAACTTGAGGGGGAGGTTTTGCTCTGTGGCATGTCTCATCTTGTTTGTAGGGATTGTCACATACCACATGTTGTAGGCATTCTACATACCACAGAGATTATCCAATTAGCTTCACCCAGATTACTTCATTAACATATGCAAAAAATAAAAAGCATCTTTCTCTGACAGCAGTGTGGAGCACTGTTTTAGGGAACCACTTGGTTGCATCTGCACAATATTTCCACAGAAAGTCTGATATTAATTGAGGGCACTAAATTAGGTCACAGAATTCTTCATGGATTTGTAGATAAGAAGTATCTTTTGAAGAAGAACTGAAGTGTGATATCTTAGGGAATAAATTAATGACCATGGGCTAATTTCTTAAAAACCTGCCTCGTGCTAAGCACACACAGGCTATTTGTGGAACCATTATGACTAAACACGTTAGACTGTACACAGTTATCTTATTTAAAAAAAAAGAAATTAAAGCTCACTTGGCACATAGATATAAGTAGTCGTTCAAAGTGTCCTGAAGTGTCTGATCTGATGTCTTGTTCAATGTCCCTTCCAAATTCTGATTTATAGCAATTCACTATTTCACGAATCTCCTGATTTGTCCTTGTGCAGAGGATCTCAATCAGCACACTCTCCTGAGTGCCTGCTCCCTGTAGGCAGAGAAAACAAAGGCATAAATACAGAGTACTGTATGCAGTTTCCTTCAACTGTGAAATAGGGCAGTCATCTGGTATTTCAAAATTTAATACAATCTAGAGTGTAAGAACAGTATCCCTGCAGTGCGAAAGCACCAACTCTACTGTATACTTAAAATGGAATGAAGATTCAGTTCAGAGAAATACCTCAAACCTGTACATCCACATCAGTGACACTGGCCAAAGTTAAATGGAAAATGGTTTAGGAAGGAAATTCTTTGGCAACCTTAATCTGGAAATTTACCAAATGAAGGTAAAGCCTTATAATAATCATTAAAGTCAAAGGTACAAATGTAAATTCTGTTGTGGTCAGTACACAAGTGTATTCCCTATCCAAATATGGCTGCTTCCACAATGTAGAACTTTTTATAGAAACTTCCCTCTCCCCAGAATAAAAGTTAATTGTGATTTCTGTGTACAGAGGGATCTTACTGGCATGAGCATCTCAATTCAGGGAAGGATTGCATGGAGATGGAGATGTAGGTGAGTCTTCTAGGTAATCTTATATTACGAATTTTTGAAAACGGTTGAGTGGCTATTCCCCATTAAAGGCAGATCTTCATTTAAGCTCCACAGTCTCTAGAAGGTGTGCATTCATACATGAGTTGAGTTACTCGTTTCCACTTGCTAGCTGCTGCAGCTCAAGCAAGACATTCCACTAAACTGGATGTACCAGTTTACCTGAGTTAAAAGCTTAAACCATCTAGCTCACTTAATCTCTAAATGGTGTCTTTATATTTCAACAGAAACATCTATCATCTGACTTTAAGAAATTATTTTTTAATTGTCTTTTGGGGGGAAAAAAGGGATAATCCAAAAATACCTTTCATTAACAAAGGTTTGTTCCTAGTAAGGAAAGGCGTACAGTTTGAACAGTGGTTGTGGTTTTAACAGCACCCTGGCCCTTTCTGGGTCCTAACAAAAATTATGCCCAAGTGGCAGAGAACAAGGTTCTGTCCTGCAGCACTTCCTCCTCTACTGAATGGACATCTGCCCTGGCTAATTGGCTAACCCTGCAGAAATTGTCTGGAACTGGGGGATGCAGCAGAAAGTAATTTTAAGCCCTGCAATCCCAGGACTTGTTTGACACTAGTGGATTTTTCAACAATGCTGGGACCAGGTATTCTTAGATGAGCATTTTAAGATAGTTTAAAACTGTTTCCTTTGCAGGAATACCATACCTTCATTGCATGACGTAAACTCCAGGCATCATAGTAGGTACTAGGCATGAAGAGGGCTAGAATCAATTCTTCCACATTACCACTTAACTCAGACTTCAGATCTTTAATTAAATCCTGTTCAGTTATAAACACAGAAAGGGCTTTGCAGAGTGTTAGGCATATATAGATTATATACTGAAGAAAGATCAAACTAGAACTTACTTCTATGATTTATTTCTACCTGTCTACCTTTGTGCTGTTTTTCCTGTAAAGCTTTGTTTTATTTCTTATTACGAACTTCCCTGTGTCCAAATCTCTGACAGCTCAGCTCTTCTCCATTATCTCCTCACTAATGCCACAACTACAAAATTTCAGTTTAGGTTGCAAAAATGACAGGAAAGAAATTAAATTAACCTGGAATTTTATTTACTATCCAATCCTCAGTCATTTCTCAGTTTGTTTCTTGGGAAAAAGATTTCAGTGCTGGTTTGTGTGCAAAGAAAACTCAGTAGTGTCAGACACTAATACAAGGGCAGTTTAAGCTTGATTATTTTCTGTCAAGCTATAGAGAAGCTTCTTGTGTGGTCAGGGACAGAGACAGCCTCCAGCCTTCCCCCATCCCTCCTTCTGCCAGGTATCAGGACAATCCTATATCAAATACAGCTCTCTCCCAATACATAAGGAATACAACCAAAAGAAGTGCATTTAAAAATGCTCAAATCATTCCCCAGGACTAAAATGCAACCAGGCAGTTAAAGCAGCAGGTGAAAGTTTGGGTTTGTTTCCCAGTTCAAAGAACTAATGAACATACCTTGCCATACATAGTCTTGAAAGCTGCCTTGATTTGTTGCCTTTGATCATTGGAGCGGTTAGCAACAACATTTATGATGGCCTGCTCATCAGTTCCTTGGAAACAGAAAGGCAATGTCATGTAAGAATGCAATATAGACCCTCCAAAACTGTGCATTTTATACTGTTCCATCTGGGCATCATTAAACAATAAGAGACTGCTATTTAAGTCCACCAAATTTTCTGTGTAACTTCATCTAATAAATAGCCCTGGCCATTTTGAAAAGGTAACTTTTGAAAAGCTTGGTGGGGGGGGGAAGTATAGTTAAATAAACACTGAAGACAAGAACAAAGTGGCATTAAGAAGTTAGATCAATGGGAACTAAAGCTTCTATTTCTTACTTACCAAAACCCTTCATAGCTTTCCGTAGGATTTCTGCGTCCCTTCCAGCATCGAAGTTTGGAGCAGCTTGAATTGTACCCTGGGTACACTGAACCACAGCAGCAGGCTGAAAATAAGAGTCACAGGTAACTAGATATCTACAAAATGAAAATTCAAATTAAAATCATAACTCTGCAATCAGTACTTCAGAAGGAGTTCCCCATTAGTTCTCCATTTCTTCCTCTAACACAGAATCAGGGCAACATTACTCTGAGGGTAGATGGAAACTCCTGATGCAGAACAAAATTGAAGCCTTTGGAAATCAGCTGTAAAAACATTAAAACTACAGAAGCCACACAAGATTCCCTACAGAAAAGAAAACAGCACATACCAGACCAGGCATTGGGGATGGTACTTGTCCACCAGGAAATCCTAGTGAAAATAAAGAACAAGGTAGGAGAAATTAATTAGGTCTTCTCTCATTATGGAAATGCCATCTAATCTGAATATAAAGTCAGACCTACCACTGCACATAGTCTCTTTCCTAATGGTACCTACCACAATCAGTAACTGAATTTCCTCCCTGGGGATAACGGGAAGAAGCAATGACAGATGCATTTTGGTACATACAGTAGCAAGGCAATTCTAAAAATAATAAACTTACTGGTGCTGTGGGAACTGGAAGGATCTCTCCTTATGAAATTCTGCTATTTTTGACAGAAGCCAAGATAGCCCAAACAAATCAAGAATGTGTGTTCCAATGTGTGCTCTCTTTAAAAGCTTGTATACATTTTAAAATGCCTAGCATGTAAACAATAAATATTCAGAATTCATTGCTGCAGAAAGGATTGAAGGAATCTCATTTTTGTGATCAAAAGCATTGGTAATATAAAAGGTAAAACTATTTTTTGTACTGGAATTTTATTTTTATTCATAATATGTATGCACATTCCTTATCATTTTAATAGCAACTTAGTACCAGAGGTAACAGAACAATCATAAAACAAAAAGGTTTTGCTGCTTTGAATTTCTTTAAAACACAACTGATACATTCCAGGACATCATCTCTAAAGTAACTGAAAATAATCTCTAAGGTAAAAGAAAATCATCTCTAAGGTCTCTATATATCTCTGTATGTGATTTTCTAAAAGAAAATCATCTCTATAGCAACTGACCACTCAAAGCATTACAAACACTGCACTGCTTTTAAGCAAATGTGTGCATTCTCCTTTTCTCTTTCTCCAGTGTGTCAGGAGTCACTGTCAACACACAGATCTGCAAAATGCAATTGAGATTAACAGAACTGCTAGGTACTCACTGAATGTGTACTCTGGGTTTCACAGTTCTCATCAGATACTTGCAGTTTGAAAAAGGGTAAGCACCTAAGCCACTACACCATGACCATTATTCAGGGACAGCCATCCCCTTTGGATGTAGCACCTACAGAGATGGTTCTCCTCAGCCCTTCAGTAGCCTGGTCAAGAAAAGTGGCAGGAGGTGCACTGCATACAAACTCAACAGCTACAAGTAACAAAGGTAAGGGCTTAATTTGTTACTACCCATCCTGGAGTCTCTTGGTTTAACCATGGGTGCTTGAAGTTGCTTATATATGACATACCTGGAATTTGTGCTGGTCCACCTCCAGCATAGCTTTGGGCAGGAGGCTGCTGTGGATAGCCACCAAAGCCAGGCCCAGTGGGAGGCACAGCAAAGCCAGAGCCTGGAGGAGCCAGGAAAAAGGGAAAAAAAACCAACAAAACACCAGATTTTAGCACACTTAGTATTTTGTACTTGACTTCTTGATAAAGCAGGAGCCAGGTTATTTAACAAAACTATGTAAGAGACCGGTTTCTCCATGTCTGTGCAGTGACCCAGAACCACCAAGGCTCTGCCATCAGCATGCAGGTATTTACTGCTGAATGGCAGCCTGGCTGCCTGCATGCTGCTGCCTGCACCCATCACTGAACAAAGCTGCTTTTCTTTACTTTTCTGACAAGCACAGGGAATGGTTACACTGGAAATCACTCGTGACTGCCACTCTAACAAAGGATCTTACCTCCAGGATAAGGTGGCATTCCTCCAGCCTGGGGAGCTCCAGGGAAGCCCCCTGCAGGGGGGTAGCCCCCTGGGGCAGGATACCCTGCTGCCCCTGGAAACCCAGCATTTGGTGGTGCTGCAGGATAGGTCCCTCCTCCTGATGGAGGGAATCCTCCAGGAACAGCAGGATAGGCATACTGACCAGCTGGTGGATAGACAGACTCCTGTCCTGTTGGCTGAAACACAAAAATGGGATGTCTGTATGCCTGTTAACAGCACATTAGAGTAAAAACTCCCAAGCTGCCAAAATGTCCATGTGTATAATAACAACGTGAATGACACAATTAGCTGTAGGGCTGGAAGCAGCAGCAGCAGCAGAATTCCTGAAGCCTGGATGGTCCCTCCTGGTTGGGTGTTCTGATGCATCTCCTATGCTGACAGGGAATCAGAGTGCTGCAGGGTGGAAGTCACCTCTCAGTGGCCTGTGATCCCATCCACCCTCAAAGCAGGGCCAGCTTTGGAGTTGGGTGAGCTCATGTGAGGCCCAATAGTCAAGTTTTCAGTATATACAAGGAATGACAAATTCACAGCCTCTCTGGCTCCCTGTTACAGTGTTTGACCACTCTCCCAGAGAAAAATGTTTTCCTGAAACCAAATTGCAATTGCAACCTGTATTTGTTAGCTGCCCTTTCACTGTGTACCTCTGAGAAGAGTTGGCTCCAATGTCTCTATTTATTGCTCCTCACCCAGCAGAAGACTGAACAGATCTGTGCTTAGCCAGAAATGTGCTTAGCTGCAAGCAGCCTTCCCTACACATGCTCCTCTTTGTCTGTCTTTGTTGTGAGGCCACAACAGAGTATTGCAGAGGTGCTCCTGCTAAAGCCTGCTGTGTTGTTAGCCCTCCTCCCTGAGGACTGGCAGTGCTGAGTCCCACTCGACTTGTCAGCCACTGTGACTCCTGGTCCTTTACTAGGAAGCTGCTCTTTCTATCCCACACAAGGAGGACGTGAGCTCAGCTCAGCTTGCTCTCCTTGCAGCATTAGGAGCTCAGCCCCTGTTAAAAGACTTCTAAGAGTATAGTGGCTTTGAAACTTCTGCCTCTCTTGCACAAACAGTATTTTCAAATGTTACAGGGTAAGAACTTTTTGGGGTTTTTTTCCCCATTTCCTTTGGAATCCAGGTTATAAAGCATGGGCATTCAGTGACTAAATCTGGATCAGTGAGTCAGACTGAACACCTATTACAGGTTTTAAATAAAAAGAACTAGTCCAGCAGCTATATATTTGTTTTGCTACATGGATGACTTATCAGTCATACCACAAAGGTTGCTATTAGCATTAAGATATATTAGGAATCTTTACTTGAATGATCTGGATCTCTAAGGGAAAGCCCTGTAAGGTCAAAGTCATTATACGTGATCTTAGAAATCAAGCATTCAAATCAGCTTCATAATGAAGCATAATGGATGGACCCATTACTCACTTGCTGGGAATCATCTTTACTGACTAGCTTTAGAAACACATTACATATAGTGCATATCATTCTTGACCCCAGAAAACAGAAATAAAGTGCACAGCAGAAAAGCCTAGCTTAAATGTTCTCAGGTTTGGCTGCCCCAAGATTTCTACCCCCAAATTCCTGTTCCCACGCTATATAGTATTCTTCTCCCCAGAGGTACAGTCTAACATGTCTCTGCCTGACTCAACAAAAATATTTTATAGGAATTTAGATTGATAAATCCAAAATTAGGATACTCAGAAGCCCTGCTCAGATTACTACCAGTGCTGCAGAAAAAAACAATTTCACATATGCTTTTTTAATTGTTTATCACATTGATGGGCATCATCAATGAGACTAGGAAATCATTGATAATGAGTCTAAAATGTCTTTTCAATTAATTCATTGAAGCTGGCTATTTTTTAGATGCTAGCTAAGAAAAAACTATATTTTCAGATGTAGTTAAAAATAAACTACAGCTAAAATCATGAGGGTTCAGCAGAACCTTAAGGGAAGAAAAGAAATCCTGGAGTTAATAGTCTTGTTTCTAACGTGTTTGTCTTTCGTTTGACTGACTTTAGTGTTTCAGAAGAAGTAAGGGTAGAATGTAAAGTAAAATAATCAGAGAATTTATTGCATGTATTTATATGTATACTTTTATATTTTGCATGTATTTATAGCTTTTCAGTGTCTTAAAGGCATTTGGGCTGAGATCCTTGCCTAAGTCTGGTTCTGTACAGAACACCAGTAAAATTCCCACAATTACAGCATGACAAGTGCCATGGTCAGTGCCATAAAAGCACAGAGATTAATCCAGCTTTGAAAAATATTGCAGGCATATCAAAAAGACTGCAGTTTCAGCCATACCTGATACACTTCAGCTTTCCATTAAGTTCCCTTAAAATTTTTAGTCCATTCAGTTGTGAGATGAAGGTGGAACAGTCCTGTGGATGGGGTAGTTAAGATACAGTGTCCTCTGTCCTCAGAAAAACATTTACTTGGTGTTATATGAAAACTGGGCTACTTGAGTGAAGTGTTCCAAGCTCTTCCTGATGGCTGTGACCACCTGAAGCTTGTTGAACATCTCTGTAAATCCTGGGATATGGCTATGTGAGTGTTTTGTACAGACTGGTTCAGAGATTACTTCTAACCCTACAAGTAAAAGGCCTCTTATTTACAGAAGAAACTTCTAAAAAAAATTGTTGAGATGAGACAGCTGTACTTAAAAACCCAAACTCACAAAATAAAATAAAACTAGACCAAAGACCTTTCTGGAACAATGGGCATCACTAAAAAAAAACTAAACTTCCTTCTTGTAATTCTTGTATGACAGCTGTAAAGTCATCCCCAGAGACATAGAGGAAAATGAAGACCACAATCACTAGAGAACAGGGTACATGAACTGACTGCTGCTATTTACTACTAGCTACTATTTACAGACATGGAGCACAGTCAGCAGGTGTATTCACAGAACACAAATGCATTAGGAATGCAACACATTCAAGAGCCATACTTACAGGATAACCTGGGAAAGCAGGGTAGCCATCAGAAGGGGGATAACCTGGGTATGACATTCTGGGGAAGAAAAAGTAAAAAAGGTGTTTTCAATGCAAATCACTATCTGTGAGTTTGTAGTAGGTATTTGCTTGCTAATTATCTGTTAAATCACTTAAATAATACAGAACTTTTCTTTTTTTTCTCTCCTACATCTGACTATAGCAATCAGAATTCAGAAGGGAAGCATCTTCAACTTATAGTAATTACAGTAATTTACTATCACTCTTATTTAGAGTCAAACAGACTTTTAAGCATGGTAAGAGGCTCAAACTTTCAGAAAGCTCTGAAATACAGGATACACTTTGAGGTGCCAGCAGGAGGGAGCTTGAACCCTTTGCCAGGACAGAAGCCATGCAGGTCTCTGGACTGCACCAAGCACCTGTATCCATGATCCTGCACTGCTCTGCTCACAGGGGTAGTTCCTGGGAGAAGAGCAGTACCCTAGCTATGCCACGTAAAATGGTAATTTGATAAGAACAGGTATAATCCCTCAGCATTACTTCATTTGTGGAGCAAATTTCTATTTCCTGACAGTAACTGTTTATTTTAGTCACAGTTTTAACAGAGGGACTTGGGGAGTAGGGGTAGAGATCATCTCATCCTGCTTGTTGCCAACCAGTTGGGCAGGGAGATTGGAGACCATTAGCCAGGTTATGAAACTTGTAATGACGGGGGAGGAAAAATGGACTTTAAATTTGGCACAAGCATCTTTAAGTTGAACAGTGGCTCTGACATAACTACTTTTATAACAAAACAACAACGGATTTTTTCCCGTCAGTCGGACGTCGTTTCCCCGCGCTGTCCCGGCTGGGCACGGGGCGGGTTGAGCGGGCCCGGCTGAGTCAGCGGCGGCGCTGGCCCGCGGTGGCACATCGGGGCGCGCCGCGCTGCGTGCGCTGGGCGAGGGCTCCGCCGCTCAACACCGAGCGGTCTCGCAGGCTGCCCCGCCGGGACCCCCGGGCCCGCATCCCCGCCGGGACCCGCCCGCCCCCGCCTGCCGCTGCCCTGCCCCGCTCCGCATCGCCCCAGGCTCCTCCCGCTCCCTCAGCCGCGGGCCGGCCCGGCGAACCCTGCGGCGAGGTGGGTATCCTCGGAGCACCGGCTATCCCCGGTGTCCCGGTACCTGCTTCCCCCGAGGCCCCGGACCCCGTCCCCGCGGCGCAGCGCCAGGGCAGCCCCCGCCGGGGGCGCGGCTCCCTGGGGCAGGCGGCACCTCCCTCGGCCGGGCACCTGCCGAGCCCCGAACCGCGGGCGGCCGCGGCTCCGGGAGCGCTGCCCGGGGCTCCCTCCACACCCCGGGGCTGGGGCCGAGCCCCCGAGCGCTGTGTGAGCAGAGCCGGGGCTGCGCCGAGCCCCGCGAGGTGCGAGCGGAGCCGGCGGGGCTGGGGCGAGGGGCACGCCAGCGACGGGCCGCTCCTCCCTCCCTCCCTCAGCCGCCTCACCTGAGGGGAACTCGCGGAGCCTCCGGCCTCTCTCCGCAGCCACACCGCAAAATGGAGCCTGTGCGGCCGGCGATGCCCGCCCCGCCCCCGGCACCGAGCCCGCCCCGCCCGGCCCACGGGCCGCGCTCCCCGCGGGCAGGGGCACCGCGCCCGGTGCCGGCAGTGGCGGCCCTGCCAGCGCACAACCCTTTGCTGTCCGCCTCGCTGAAGGGAGCCTGTGAGATGCCCGGTTGTCTCTCGGGACGGAGCAGAGGTAAGCTCGCAGGCGCAAGTGCCACGAAGGCAGAGCCCCTCGGCAGTGACAGGGAAGCGTTCACGCAGGGAGCGCCCGGAGATGCTGTCCCACGGGAGCCCTTTGCCACCCGGTAGGAAAGGGAGAGAAAAGTCCACGCTGCAGTTTCCCTGTAGCACCACTGCAATGGAGTTCAGCCCTAGTGCGTGCAGTTTTAAGTCAAGTCTAATCCAGTAACACACGCGTCTTTAGCTCAAGATCGTTGTTCAGTAGCTGCAGGGAGTCCATCAAGTCACCCAGGCCACCAGAACTGCATGTAACAGGCAAAGAATGTAAAAGACCTAAGTGCATGGAGCTGGAGGAACCGCTCCTTTTGCTGTAGTTACTGAAGACCAGGATCTATAAGTCCCAAGAGGACATAAAGGTAAGATTGACTGACTGCTACATACATTTTTCTAGAAAGAAATCCTAATTATAGTTATTTGAATGTAATTATGGGGAGTGCACTTACTGTTTTGTTTCTGTCTGTTGTAATGTTTATTAATGTTATACTTTGAATAGACATTACACACACATAGTCCTTTCTTTGCCTGGTGGTTAATTATTCATAAGACATTCTGACTAACAAGATGCAAATTATGAAAGATTCACCTATAATATTGTGCGCCAATTACTTCAGGTTATTCAAAATATCCCCTTTTTTGTTTATGACAAACATGTTAGCAGTTTAGAGACCATTCCAATGCTTTGGTTCTTTCCTGTAACCTGGTGCAGCACTTCAGCTCAAGATGAAATAACAACCACTGTTCTCTTTGTCCATAAAACAGCGTGAAGTGCAGACAGCAGAAAATAGGTGGGTAATAATTTACCATGCTTGCTTGCTTCAAATGAAGAGCACCTAAAGCCACATGAATCTAATACATTACCTATCCAGGAAAATCAGGCTTGTTCTCTCTTGTTTACCCAGAACACATCAGGAGTGGCTTTAAGAATTTAATCCTCACAGCATTCTTCAGCTGACACTCCAAGTGCATGTCTACTTTATTTCACCTGTTAAGCACATTTCTTTCAGGACAGGTATATCTTTTAATCCTTGTTTCCATGGGAACGAGTAAATTTATAAAATACACAGTTCTTTATCTTTTTCATTTAGTGGACTGTTTTGACTTAAGCTACTCAAGAAAAGAAAAATTTGTTTTAAAACATATTCCTTTCTTTTTGTGTAAAAGGAAGAATAGAATATTTTAAACAAAACTACATGTGTCTGAAGAATCTGTTAAATGCATTGAATGTTCCTGTATCAACAAGAATGTTTGGAATTACTTTTTTAAAGCATGCAATGGAACAATTGTGGTCATCTAATTTCACTCTGTATTTAGGGAAATCCCTTGGCTTGTTACTTTACCTGGAGCCCACACATTTAGAAAAGCTTGTAAAACCCCATGCAGTGTCAAGGCAGCTTCTCACTATTAGAAAATTCAAGTTTAATGGAGAGACAAACTTTTGTTCTTCTCTGTTGTTATATTCTTGCATCTGATCCCAGGACATGGTACTGGACAGAATTCTGGTCTGGAGTGACTTGGCTCAACTACATAGTTGTGCTGAGTGCTGTCAAAAGAGCTGAAACAAAACTTTTTTTCCAGAGGAATTTATTGTTGATGATGTAGGCAGCTAAAGCATTGCTGCTTCTTTGTGTCCTGGTTGAAACATTATTTCCCACTTAAGTAATATAAAGTATTACTTGTGGTGTTCTACTCCAGCCAATACAATTAAACTAAAAACAAAGACTTTCCTCAAGTTTGTTGTAAGAACTGGTCAGCTTTGAGCCATAGGTCAAAGTGTAACAAACCCACAGGATGCTGCATGGCCCAAGTCTACATTATGTACCAAAACCACTTCTCCTGTCAGCCTGCCTTGCAGTGACTGAAATGCACAGTCCCAGTAAGCTGCTGAGGCAGCCTTCCCTGTGTGCAGGAGCAGAGCGAGCAGCTCCCTTCGGGAGGCAGGAGGAGCCCTGTGTTTGCTGAGCTGCTGCAGGGAGTCGCTGCCCGGTGAGTCACGTCAGCGCTCGGCCCGCCCTGCTCTGAGCATCGGCCCTACGGAACTGCCAGCCACTCTCTGGTTCCTCTTGGAGACTGAAGAGGAAATTGAAGCTTCACCCTTCCTCAAAGCACAAGACAACAGCAGCTTGTTCTGCTTAACTCTTCTGGAAGGGTTGTGTGTCTAACATTTTCATATCGATTTTAGTCATTAGGACTGAACCCGTGAATTTCAGGTATAGGAGGCGTATGTCCACAGCTTCACAAAATCGCACACCAAAACACTGCCTCCTCTTTGCAGCTGCCAAGGAACTGAAGTGACTCAACTAAAAAAGCAAATTTAGTGACCTTCATCCCAGTACATGGAAATAATCACCAAATGAAGTTGCTATTCTGGCAGCAAGGATTTAAGTTTCAAATTGCAGATAACAATAAGGTTTGTTATTCCATACAATATAGAATTTTTTTCTGCTGAGTCTCATTGGTTAAAAAATAGTGGACTGACTATTACCACCTCCTCCTGAATTTTTATGAAAGCATTCCCTAAATATAAATGATGAATAAGGTAGTTTGTCCTGTAAGTATTAATTTTGATAAGAAACACAGCAGTCTTACTGTGCTGGGAAGATGTCAGAGCGAAGCATAATGTATGATGTCTGTGTGCTAATTAAACTGCAGCTTGTCCCCAGTTACCATGCTCACTGCAAAACCCAGTTTCATTGCCTCTGTACTGCCCAGAGGCGCTCGGCTGAAACTCTCCTCCTTTGATGAAGCTGCCTGAGATTGTGTCTGAGAAAGGCCCAAGGCAACAAGATGGATGGACTTGATACATTCCTCCAAGTTATACCAAAAGAGAACAAGAGAATTCATTGTAACATTAAACTCTGTTCTAAATATTATTATGTATATTGAGGAAAAGAACTGTTCAAGAACTTAATGATTAGGTAAAAACTCAAGATGAGCTCAACTAAGCCAGGATTAGAAAACAAATTTGAGGATGTTAAACATTTTAACATTCTTAACAATTTACATAATTTGAGCCCTTAAATACTTGAGTGCTGGGAGCTGGTAAAAGAGTTGTTTGAACAAGGTATTTTAAAGCCTAATATTTACCAGGAAAATATGCACACTGCCACAAATAAACATAATACAGTAATGTCCAGGAATTTATACTCATTCAGAGAAGTCATCTAGGAAAAGAAAATGCTGAATGTGTTAGAGGATGGAAGTTTGTTATTGTTTTAGTGAGATCACTAGTAGAACTCAATATAATATATAGAATACTAGAGAATTATCTGTCTTGACTATGTGAAATTAACTTTGTCAATTATTTGGAGCAACACATCCTGAAGAAACATACAAACAAGCAAACAAAAGAAAAGGAGAAAGTTCCCTAATTAATTCATGCCATTTACAAACCAATAGAGAGTTAAAGTTTGAAATCCTTGGTGATGTTTCTTGACTCCCAAGTTTTCCCCACCAAATTTTCTATTGAACTTCAAGTTTTTAGACAGTTTCTGTAGAGTGGAACAATTCTAACAGAATTATTATTCTAATAGAATAGAATCTTCTAAGTAACAGCACAGCTCAGGCTTTACAATTAAGCAAAATGATGCATTACAGTTGTGCTCACAGTGTTGTCCTTCATAAAAGTGGTCACTGAAATTTGAAATCAGACATTCAAAACTCCAGAGTCAAAGTAAGGATCACCATGTGTCCACTCACAAGGACAGAATGGATGGGACCAGACAGTGTTTTAAAAGGAATCTCTTTTCCTCCTTCAAGCATTTGGCAATGTCCTGTCTTGCAAAGGCCTAAACTCGTGGACTTCGGTCACTTCAGACACTTCTGCTTTGCAGTGAATCTTTCCACCTAGGAAGACATAACCTTAGTCCTGCATCACATATCTTCATTATTAGTCTTCAGTACTTGCAAGGACTGGCAAATTCCACAATGATCACAAATAGTTCTTCTTGGAACTTTGCATTTTGTGCACGCCAGCTTGTAAAACAACATAGATTTTTAACACTCTAAAAGCTGAATAGCTTTCTTTTTATGTTTTCTCCCTTTTCCTAACAGGGAATGGAAGAGTTTCCTGCAGAGGAGAGATCAGGGAAAAAAATATTTTCCTTCCCCCGCCACTGCAACTTCTTTGCAGTAATTGAGCCTTATTCACCTTTGCTGCTTCCTCTTTTCTGCCACGTCAAAACTTTCTTCAAAAAACACTATGATCTGGAAATTTTGAAACATTAAATGGTTGAATTTAAGAATATTAAATTTAAAATAGAGAAAGGAAAGCAAAACATTTTTATTCAGACTAATAAAAAAATAGTTGAGTTCTAATACTTATTTAATGCTCACAAATAACATTTTCAATGAGATGAGGATCTTTGCTGGACCTTCACTTTCCATTTACATTGACCTTGCAATTACAACTTAGAATTTAGCATTGAGTCACTGGGGGAACTCTCTAGATTGGAACATCCAATACAGGATCTACAGATTTGTAATCTGAGTCTTAGTCTTGGATTTACTGGCAAATTACCAGTTTTGGAGAACACTCTCTTTGCATACTTCAATTTCAAATTCATTCACCAAACTAGATACAGCCCTCAGTAAGGTGGAACAGTACTGTTGTAGAAAAGGGATGCTTTAACTCTGTTAAAGCAGATACCCCCTCAGCACAGCTGAACTGTAAGACAGCCTTCTAAAGGTAATGTTATTGGCAGAGACTGTGCGAAGTTACAGCTGATATTTGTATTGGCTTTCTTCCAGCTGGAATTTAGTTAACATGAAACATATCTTGGGGAGAAAACGGGGTTTCTCTTCACATAATTTTAGCAGCAGTAGAGCATTATGAAATAGAAAATTCCTATTTGGCAACACCTAACTTTCAACCTCAAATCTCATGGATTGTCATTTTGCTGTCCTTTTCTTCTTTGGCAAAGATGGAAGCTCCAGTAGCCAAGCTTGTTTAGCGACAAATGCTTTTCAAACTCTTTTACCATGAACTCAGTTGCTGACTTTAATTCTCTGAACTCCCTCTTTAAGAGGGGTTAATGCTGTAGACAGTTACTTCCCAATCAATCAGAAAATAATTATATGCATAGAAGTGATACCATAAACTGAATTTACTGTCTCGTAGTCTGTCAGTACCCTGCTGAAGGGATACACACAGCACCATGACTAAACCAGAGACTATTCTGCAGACCTGCATGCTAAAGCATATTATATGCAACACAAATCCCCACACTTGCAGTGTGCTTTAGCAGTTGGAAAAAAAACTGCAAAGAACTGGAGTTCACTCCCATCCACTCCTTCTTTCCTGATGCCACCTTACCCCCCCACCCTCTTTCAAAAATGGATTCATTACACAATGAATGAGAAAGTTTTTTTTCTAGACAGAAGCCATTGTTGCCACTGCAATGGAACTTTTATTCCAAATACATTCTTACAATAAAGCTGTTATTTTGTTATACAAGTAGACAAATCCACAAGACCTAAGATTCTCATATTTCATGTTAAAATACCAGGCTCAACTGAACTGCAGCCGCTCCCATTCATTTCCTAAAGCATGTTAGGGACTTTTAGAGCAATGGAAATAACGATGTAAACCAAGTCATGTAGGTAATTAAATTACAGTCCAAGGAAATTTCTAACACCACAGAAAAGTGTATCTGCTCATTCTTCAGGCTCCTTAAAGTGTAGGGTGGCAAAAGTTTCTTTATAAACTCAGAAGTTTTTCGTTCAGAGCAATCTGTGACTGTGTGAGATTTGCCAAGTAGGTTACCATCAGTAGGTCCTGAAAGGAAGAGGAAAAAAACAGTGATCAGAAATATTAACAAATTCTAGCTTATTACCTGAATTTTTAACATCTGTAAAGCATTTTACAATCAGCTTACAAGACATATTGTTAGTCCTGAAAGTCCTACCCTCAGGAATGCTTCCCTTGCAGGAAGCTTTTGGATTCCTGACATATGAAATACTGCTTGTGAAATTTTAACTCTGAGTTCACCCATGTTAACCAGAGAAGTCAAAGGGTATAAGCAAAATTAAAAATTAGTTCTGGTCTTACAGACTGTGGGTGAACAACACATTCAGAAACTCAAGTTCTCTAAAAGTCTTTTAGAGAAATCAGGTAACATGCTAAAACCTTGTTCATGTTTGTAAGTGCTATGCAAAGAGACAGAACTCTAGGTCAGACAAAAGAATCTGGGAAGTCACCAGTTATTGCTGAAATAATTTTTTTTTAAAGTTTGGTCATTCATACTGTCCAATCAATATGAAAGAAAAATTGGTACTGGTTTTCACATGACATGCAAAATACCTAAGTCCTTAAAAATGAATACTTTTATCTGGAGTTGCGTGCAAGATTATGCTGAGCTTCTTCATCCACCCTCAGCCCTTAAAACACCAAATCACTGACAATAAAAAAGCTGTATTAGCTATTAGCATGTTTGTATGAAAAGACAGATCACAGACAAATTTATATCTGTATGAAAAAATTTCAAAATTGCTAGCAAGGCACAGAAAAAATTAATTAAGATCTTACATTGATATTGCTGTTCAACATGGTCTCAAAGTCCTCTGGTGAAATCTTTGGCACCTGGTTAATAAGATCCATCAGGAAGCGCCCAACAGTGTTGTCAGCAGCCACTTTGCCAGACTAAGCATAAGAAACACACACTTCAGCATAAGTGGAACTCAAAGTTTATGGCCCAGAAAGAGAAATAATAAAGAGAAAACCAAGATGCACAAGTTAACATGAAAGTTTTTTTCTGGCTGACAGAAAGCTGGCCGTACCAGCACGTCCTCGGCGTACTGCAGCACCATGGTCAGGGTGTCCTGGATCCTGGCTGAGGCCGACCCCACCTGCTGCAAGTCACTGGACAAGCCAATCACTCGGTTGGGGCTGAAGCAGGTCTTCATGATGAGATCCACTGAAAGCAAAAGGAGGAGCAGTGAGAAAAACTGACTGCCACAGGTAACAGTTTAAACCCGTAACTTATTGAAGATTTTTTAGGTCAGCTTCAGCAAACAGTCTGATTACCAGTAAAATTGCCAGAATGGCAGTTTTATCAGGGTAAAAGAAGCATTTGAACATTGTCACAACAATGGTTATAACCAAAATAGGAAGAAAGCATTCACCTCCTATCCGCTCTGTATCATAATAAACGTATTTCACTGTTAGTGGTGTGAACATCACGCCCATAGTTTTACCAGGGACTCCCATTGGGGCACTAGGAAAAAAAAAAGAGAACAACAAAACGTTTTCACATAAGGAAACATATATAAGGGAGGAAGGAGGAGATTTCCATCTCAAAGATCTCTGTTAGCACTAAAGCATGAACACGAGTGCATTACTCATTCTCACCAAAATCAGCAATTTTAAAACCCAAGGATAACTAAGGACAGGAAACCAGTTGTGGCATGCTATTAATTGCTCTTTTTCATCCAAGAATACCCCTAGCTGGTTTGACATCACCATGAATGCATGAAGAACTATCATCTTAACCAAAGTTCCTTCTTGCTTTTAGAGAAAGTGCTCTTCTATCCTGAAATACTTCATGCTTTACAAAATGACTGAAACAACAAGCAATATGACAAAATCCAAGTATAAAGCACTCTCAACACCTTTATTATACCTATTATTCAAAGTACTTGAAGTCCATTTATGCTTTAAGTAAGATATCATGGAACAGTTCCCATTTTAAAGATGCAGTCAAGAAGCAGTACTTTCTCTACAAAGAAAAGGGTTTTTTCCGAGCAGAGCAGAGCTCTTTAGCCAGTACTGGAAGGCATTCAGTCAGGTGGAAGAGTTTAATTTCTCAATATTTAATCTCCATTGTTAACTGATAAGAATTATGGCGTTTAGGGGAAGAAAGACCCACCAATAAGTGCAGCAGTAGAAGATGCTGTTTGAATTGTTTTAACCACACTAATCCTCCAACTTGTATAAGGGCACTGCTGAGCAATAAAGCCCTATTGGTACAGGCTAGCATTCAGTCAGTGTGATGGAAGTTAGTGACATTACTGCCAGCTGTGTGAACCCTGTGAAATATTCCAGAGATGTTCTGAAAATTGTTAATTAAGTCACAATTACCCACCCCAACGAGGTTCCAGTTAATGAAGTCCTTAAGCCTATATACAATGGTCAAGACATTCCAATGAGAAGTAAGCCATGATCCTCGGCTCACCACTATGTTTAACTACTGCACAATATTGTCCAAAAAAGGACACTGCACCCCCCTACATTCCTTGTTACCCTGATGGGGCATCTCAGTAATTCAGACTGCTCCCCTCCCAGAGTACCTGACATAGGCTTTAATGCTCATGCGTGAGTTCTGGAGACTCGTGTCCACGGTGAGGTGGATTGGATTGTGTGCTTCCCGGCTGTAGTACTCGTGGATCAGGACTGAGTGCTCCGTGATGTCATGACCTGTTGCATACCTTCAAAAGAACACACGTCAAACAGCCATCCTTCCAACACTCAAGTGCCCAGTGTTTTGTATTGTTGGTATTTAAAGTTTTGTATCCTAAACCACTGATTTCCAAACAATGAGCTGTAGCAGCACACTAAACGTAAGTGTTTTAACTGAGGATTTTTTACTTTATAGCCTCTTGTCCCTAAAATTATTGGAATCAGAGGTTGAGCACACCCACACCTGAAATATGCAAGGGCCAGTGTTGTAGTACCAGCCATAAAACATCAGTAAATTGCAGACATCCAATATTCAGTTACCTGTCACTGTGTTCTAGAGCAGCTTTTTCCATCTAGGTGAGTCAAAGCGCACCAAACAATCTTGGATGAATTTTGTCATCCACAAATCACACATCCCTCTGCAGGAGGTCTAACTTGTTAATCTAGCTCCTTTAACTGCTCTACAATTAGCATCTCACATTCTCAGGCAAGCTCCTGTCACCGGAACTGCACTCTGCTGTGCCATTAGAAGGCTGTTGAGGAAGCTTGCTACACAGAAAGAAAATGAAGCCATTTAGTAGGCATGAAAAGGGTGATAAACACACTGTGCCATGCACTCAGACACAGACTGTTCCCATAACTGTACTGATCTTGCTGCACATTCCACACACAGGTTACTTCCAGCACAGAACTAAGTACTCAAACTGGTATCAGCAATTCTTCTTGACGCCTTTGGTACATTAAAAACCTCTTTTGTATTCTCCCTTCTTTCTCACCAGTTAACTTCCATGGTACAGGTTGTATTACAGGAAATAAGTTCTTCTAACAAAGCTGGGCACACATTCTCTAACACATCACTCCTCTGTGGTACCTTGCTAGATATAAACAAAACCAAATCCTTTAAGTCTCCAATACCATCTCTTCTTCTCCTGAGCTTGAAGAGCTTCACGGCTGACTGTGTAACAAGAGTTGCAAGGTGTGACTGCCACGGGCATTAGTGCTTCTGCTTCTCCATCTGTGACAAAGTGAATTACGGGACAACTTACCAGCCCAAGATGATCTCGCTAGGAGACACCTTCTTGTGCAACTCATACATGTTTTTGGCAAATTCCATATCCACAGCCACCTGCGAAAGGGGATACAGCTGGTTAAGGGTGCTTAGCCCGGAGGGAACAGGGGCACAATACTGTGCAGCAGCGGAGCGGGGGGCGCTCGGCCCAGAGAACCGCGGGCCGCTCCGTACCTCATCCTCGGACTCGTTGTGCGGCACGGAGAAGCAGTTGGTGACCTCCACCGAGTGCTTGTCCACGGTGCCTGCGGGAGGGACACGAAGGGTAAGGGGGCTCCCCCGAGGGGCCGGGCAGGGCAGGGCCGGGCGGGACGGCGGCTCTTACCCAGCAGCGTCCCGATGACCCGCGCCGCGCCCTCGTTGCGCCGCTCGAAGCTGTCCACGATGGAGGCGAGCACAACCGGGTGCAGCCGCACCACGCGGCCGCCGGGGAAAGGGCCCGAGAGCGCGGCTGACAGTGGCGCGGCGGGCGGCGGGGCCGGCGCGGCCGGCGGGGCCGGGGCGGCCGCGGGAGGAGCCGCAGCAGGAGCTGTGGCCGCCATTTTGCAAGAGAGAGAGGCTGGGTCCTCCGTGCCGACAGTAATTGGCTGAGCCGAACGTCTGTCATGCAGCGCTGCTTTCCTATTGGCGAGACGGGGGAACTGAGGCTATCTGTTAGCCAATCCAGAGCGCGCGATGAGGGGAGACGCTCTGATTGGAGGAAGCGCGCACCGTCTGTGACTGAACCTACTCTTGTTCCCACCCTCCCGGGGCCGGAAAGTTTCTCAATTGGGCCTCGCATTCCCCGCCTCCCCGCTGTCCGCTCTCCTATTGGCCAGCAGCGCCCGCCCCGCCCCTCTTTAAGGCGTTTATTGGCTGTGGAGGTGCCGCTCAGCGCTGTGTAGGGAGGCCGCGGGGGCGCGCAGAGCAGCGCGCAGAGCAGCACTGCGCGCCCTCGTGCGGGCGGGCCGGGCACGGCGGGGCTCGGGGCGCCCTGAGGGCGCGGGCGGCCGGCGCCGCCTCACGGCTCTGAGGGCGCCGCGCTGCGAACGCAGCCGGGCGGGCGCAGCGCCCGGGGAAGGTGCTCCAGTAGTGCTGTTTGCGGGGCTATACAGCCCCTGGGGCCTTGGTTCTGTGAGACAGGCATGCTGTTAGTCTTTATTGCCTCAATAGAAGAATAATTGGTTGTCAAGTATCCTGTCGAGAGGAAATGCTGGTTACCCCGAACCAAGTAACTCCCCAGCAGAGTCCCTTTCTGGGTGGCTCCTGCCTGTTACTTGCAGTGCCGTGGGCTCGCTCCCGAGCGTGCGGCTGGGCCGGTGTCCTGAGGCGGTGAAACCCGGCCCCAGCAGCTCCCGCGTAGGGCAGGCGGAGGGGCAGGGCTGGTGTCTGTGGTGGCACCGACAGGAGCCAAGGCAACGGCCTAAGGATGTGTCAGCGGAGATTTAGTCTGCATGTTAGAAAAAGGTTTTAAGGTCGCCAGGGAAGTGGTCACAGCATCAGCCTGACGGAGTTCAAAGTGTTTGAGCACCGCTCTCAGGAACGTGGTGTGACTCCTGGAGCAGTGCGTCCCTTCCACCTGAGGATATTCTGTGAAATGAAACATGTATGCTTTCAATAGCTGCTGAGAGGACTGGATTCTTTGCTTTCTCTTTGTTAGCCATTTTATCATGACAGGTGGCTTTTGGAATGTTCTCTGCCTCACTAGCTGAGGCCTGAACGTCATCAGTAAATGAGCAGTTTCAGCTATGTCGTTGAAGAAGGCCCCCAAGTATAAAAGAAGCGCCTCAATAAAAGATCACACATTCTGCCTATGTGGAAGCAGTTTGCTTCTCTTACGTAAGTGGGGAACACCTTTCAAAACTACAAAGGAGAGCTAATGGATGTGAGCATAGACAGATTTTATCTCTGCATAGAAGCACTTCCAGGTCTGTGTACCAGTAAAAACTGGATCTCCTATTCTTAGGCTTTCTCCGTGCAGCCTTCATTTCTTGTAGGTGTGGCTGGATGAAATTGCATAAAGCTTTAAAACGTTTGTGTTCCCAGAGCTTTGATGTGTCATTGAGAAGTCTAATGTGTGAGGTGCTCTTGTTAGAGAGTAGCTGTTTGATCTCATTCTTGTTTGCATCAAGCTGGGCTTGGTGTTTAATTTGACACAGTCAGCTGCAGAGTCATGTGGAGCAAGCAAGGCGCTGTAAGAGCCCATTATACTTTTATGTTTTCACCTTAAAAATTGGGCAACTTAATATGAAGCAGCAGTTGTGCTTCAAAACTGGCAACTGTAAAAACTTCCTTTTAATTCATTGATGTCAAGTTGTTGCACAGGGTGCAGAGACTGTATGTAGTGGGTGAAGATGGAGAGCCTGTACCTCAAAAGTCAAAGATCAGTGGTTGGCTCATACAAAGCCCACTCAATAGAAAGACTGTATAAATCTAATGCTAAGAAAACCAATCATGTGATCATGCCTGGAGCAGACGTGTCCAAGCTATAAAACTGTTTTTTCCTTGCTAAATGAATGTTTTTTCCTGCTGAAAAATGAAGACCTTTACAATAAATATTGTTTCACAAAGTATCAGGTTACTTTTAGAGGAGGGTAGATACACTTATCAATGGTGCCTGTTGATGAAAACTTGACATACATCTACTGATACAATTAAGATGTTCAGATACTACCCCACTGCAGTAGAGTATGTCTGCCTAGAGGGACACAGAAAACACATTCTCATGTCTACATGGATCAGCATGGTAACTCAGGGCCTTCTGATTTTACAGTGTCCCTTGCTAGGTTTCCCTGCATCTGATTTTGATGATGAATATAATTATCTCTAAGCTCTGCTCTTGTAATATTTCTCTTTATAGTCCTTGATTGTGACTGAGTCATTATTATTGCATTTGTTGTCATGTCAGATGCAATTTCACTGGAGATGTGTAATTTCCTCATCAGTAGCCATCTTCTTATCTTGCTTTTATTACTGAAATTAACATCATTTCTTGCTCTAAGGGAAATTTGTTCCATTGCATTACAGGTGAAGTGAAATATCTACAATTGATTTTATTCATCATTTCAAGATGCAATTTTACCTGGTTAGTTTAATGGGATTGAATATGGTATTTTTATTCCTTTATTATAAGAAAGAATGTACAACAGGAAACCTATCTACAAGGTTGGAAGAGGACACAGTGACACAGTGAGGTGACCTAAACTGGCCAAAGGGATATTCCAGACCATATGCCATCATGCTCAGTATATAAAGTGGGAGAAGAAGGAAGAAGTGGGGGATGTTGGGAGTGATGTTTTTTTTCTTCCCAAGTAATGGCTACAGGTGGTGGGATCCTGCTTCCCTTGAGATGGCTGAACACCTGCCTGTTGCAGGTAAGACCTTAATAAAACAAGGGCCTTGTTACCCTTGTAAAATCATGGCTCAGGCCTGCTACTTTGGCTGAGTAGAAGAGGACTATGGGAAAGTGACTCAGCTGAACTGGAGGTAGAAAAACAAGTTATACAGCCATTTGTGCTCACATTTTGGCTTATGGCTGTTGGTTGAATTACGTTTGTTGTGGTTAAATGGAATGTGCCTGGTAATGGGCTAACAGCTTTAAAAGGCCTGGTTTTTGTAATGAAGGGCTCTCTCTTGCACCTGCCTGGGGACTCTGCCTTACTCAGCTTCATAACACCTGCCTGCCCATGGGAAGCAGTGAATTAATTCCGTGTTTTGTTTTGCCTCTGTGTGTGGCTTTTGCTTTCCCTATTGAACTGTATCTCAACCCATGAGTGTTCCAGCTTTTACCCTTCTGGTTCTCTCCCTGATCCTGCTGGTGGAGCTGGGAGTGAGAGGCTGTGCACTGCTTGGCTGCTGCCTGGGGTTAAACCATGCCAGGTTCCATTAGTTCTGCCTCCTGTCCAGGACTTCTACACGATGCAGTCATGGGCAATGATTTCGGGTTATGAGGGGTTGGTTTGTTTGGGGTTGTCTTGGTTTTTTTCCTATTAAAAAAAGATAATAGTTCCCTTATTTATTCTTCATCAAACATCTTTCTTAGATACTGATGCATCTGAGATTGGCAGAAGATGAAAGACAGCTGTTGGAGCCACCAGCTCCCAGTGCAATGCATCAGCTGAGTCAGCCTCATTTCAGCAAAAAGGATTCAAGCCCTTCCCTGCTTTTGTCTAATGTTTTATGGGGCCACCTTAATTATCAGAGAAATAACACTGACACATAGGACTACTGAGGTAATGCTTAAAGTGAAAATCCAAGTACCATCTAAAAATAATGAGGCATAGTGTCAGTTGCATACTGTGTAGATAAAAGAATATAGCTTTGCTAAAGTTAGAGTGGCAGTGGAAGTTATCATTAGGTGATCAAAAATAGCACACTGGGGGCTGCTTGGTGCTTTTTAGTCACTATATGGAAATATAGAGATCCAAGCTAAAATAAAATACACAATAAAACTTGCAATGAAAGCTAACAGAGAGCAGTGCCCACAGGCTGGTGTGTGTAGGGCAACAGATACTTTCATGGTCAGAATTTTATACTCACTGAGGAGGGAAAATGGAAACACATACTCACTAAAGAATGACTGTGGAAATAAGGTAAGTATCCTAAACACCAAGCAGTCCCCAAATGGTACAAATGTTTGTCTCAGAGAAGTGTTGAAGTTTTTAAATTGTCAAAATATGTCCCAAAACCTATTTATTTAGCTGCTTTTATTTAGTTCTTGCATGTAGATTTCCACTGCTTCCAATGACAGATCTGTCAGAAAAAGATAGGTGAACTACCTTTAAAAACTGCAATAAAAGGCATTTTGATTTGAAAGGCAAATTTTTGATGTTGCAGTACCATAACCCCTCAGGCTTTAGTGGGAATGTATCAGCAATAACTTGGAACAGGCTCCTCGAGAACAGAAGGTAGGTTTGGTGGTGTGCTTTTTGTTGTAATTTTGTAAATCACTGCATAGCATTGGGATCCATGGCTAACTGCTTTTATTCTGAAAGTGGAAATAACCTCAAGTTGCACCAACATTAGATTGGATATTAGAAAAAATTACTCACTGAAAGGGTTGTCAAACATTGGAACAGGGAAGTAGCAGGTGTAGATGTGGTACTTGGGGAAATGGCTTAGTGGTGGACGCGGTAGTGACAGGTTAACTGAACTTGATCGCTTAGTGGTCATTTTCAAAGTAAATGAGTCTGTGGTTCTACAATACTCTGAAAGTCTTCTGTTGTCTCATACCATGCCTCTCCCATAGTCTGTACAGTCGTGTGCTCACCCTCTTTTCCTGGGTGCGTTACCTGACTGAAAATGCTACTCCTAATAGTCCATAAAAACGCAGCAGTGTATTTTGTGGTGCAGACACCGGGAGATCCCAAGGCGCTGCCTGTCGTGCCCGCCGGAGGAAAGGTGCTTGTCCCGGTGGAGCGGGGCTGCGGGGCCGGCCCCATTGCGGGCCACTGCCGGCACTGCCGGGGCCTCGGGCCACTGCCGGCACTGCTGCAGCCGCGGGCCGGGGCTGGGGCCTGGGGCCACTGCCGGGGCCGCGGCTCCGCTCGCCTCCGACACCCGG